CTGTCGCACACCGACAGCCTCCACCAGCAGCATCGGTGGAACGGGACTCGAAACCCTTCTCACTTCAGAGGTCGGCATGACAACCTCAGAACTTGCTGTAGCCGTCACCATTGTTCCTCCTAGAGGAACCACAGACACTCCCCACGACTCAAGGGAACGCGTCCTTGCCTATGTGGCACTTGGCTGCTTCGACGAAATAGGGCGACTAAACCCATGGGAGTGTCACACACACATGGTGTTCAACCCCAACTGGAGCGAACCCACGCCACGAGAGGCAGCAAAACTGGCAACGGCCCTGGCATCCAACATGGATGCATGGGCAAGCTCTCTCTGAACCATCGCCGCTCAACATGAACCAGCGTCCCCAGAAGCACTAGAGGCAGCAGAAGCAACCATGGTCGTAGCCTCAGCAGCACGAGAAGTTGCAGCGGCAATAACCAAAGTAGAGGCAGCAGAAGCAGCAACAACAACAACAGTAGCTGAAGGTGCAGAGGAAATCGCAGAGGCAACAACAACAGCAGGACCTAAGGTTGAAATAGGTGCTCCACCCTTCCAAGCACCAAGCAGCTGGGGTCTATCACCAAGTAGAGGCACCTATGGAGAGGTATCAGCAGAAGATACCATAGCAGCAACTGCAGCAGCAGCAGCAGTGGCTGCTGCAATGGCAGCAGCAGTGGCTGCTGCAATGGCAGCAGCAACACCAACGAGAGATTCAGCCGCAACCACAGCATCAGCAGCAGCAGCAAATTGATGCACCATGGATAGCATCCAGCAAAGGCAAAGACTGGAAGACACACTCGTACCATCCCCTTCATCAACCCCCCTATCTCCACCCGCACTGGTGTGTCAGGTGGAGGGGTGTGCGGCAGACGTGGGCCACAAGAGCAAGGAGTACTACCAATGGCACCGTGTGTGCGACAGGCACTCCAAGGCAGCTATAGTGCCTGTGGCGGGTCAACAGCAGTGCTTCTGCCAGCAGTGCAGCAGGTGAGCTGCTCTCCATCACCTGGTTCTCATGCCCTTTCAAGGTTCACATGCTGCTCATCCAACTTGTTAGTTTGTGCTGTCTTGGTCAGAGGGCTTTGTGATATCCTCATCCTTGCTGGCTTCTGAGGTCCTCTCTCATTTTCATATACCTCCTCAGGTCATTAACACGACTCTCCCCCGCATTTTTGTTCATTTTTCCATCCTGGCCTGCCATCCTTACAATCCCCTTCTTGTGGTGGTTGATTCTGTTCAGCCAAAGCGCAGCTACATCCTGGCTAAAATGAAGCACCAATATTGTTATTTGAACCATCGTGATTCCGCCATTTGTTTACATCGCCTTTCCCCCCACCGTGCCACTTTCCCTCCTGCCCGCCCTACCTTCTCTCCCCGCCTTCTCGCCCTGCCTTCTCTCCCTTCCTTCCCGCACTGTCTTTGTATGCCTTCTCGCCCTGTCTTTGGATGCCTTCCCACCATGTCTTTGGATGCCCTCTCGCCCTACCTTCACGTCCTGCCTTCTTGCCCTGCCTTCTCTCCCTGCATTCCTGCCCTGCCTTATCTTCCTGCCCGCGCGCCCTACCTTCTCTCCCTTCCTTCCATCCCCGCCTTCTCTCGCTGCCCTCTTTCCCTGCCATCTCTCCCTGCCATCTCTCCCTACCCTCTCTCCCTTCCTTCTCTCCCTTCCTTCCCACCCTGCCATCTCGCCCTGCCTTTTCACCCTGCCTTCTCGCCGTGCCTCCACTCCCTGCGTTCCCACCCTCCATTCTCTCCCTGCCCTCTTGTTGTGACTTTTCTCCCTGCCTTCTCTCCCAGCCTTCTCGCCCTACATTCTTGTCCTTCCTTCCCACCCTGCCTTCTAGCCCTGCCTTTTCTCCTGCCTTCTCTCCCGGCCCTTTCGCCCTGTCTTCTCGCCCTGCCTTTCCACCCTATCTTGTCTCCCCTCACTTATTTGCTACACCTCTCCCTTCCCCCCCCAATACATCCCCTCTTTTGTCCCTCATCCAACCCGTTTTCTTCCTCATTTCCCCTCTTTCCCCTACCTATGGTCTTGCATCTCCCCACCTCGCCATCGCAGGTTCCACAAGCTGGGAGATTTTGACGAGGGCAGGCGCAGCTGTCGTATGTGCTTCTGGGACACAACCGCCGACGACACAAGGCACATGCAGTCTCTCTGCCGCAGCAACCGCAAGCCATGCAGCAGGAACCCCAAGCTACACAGCAGCAAGCAGAAGCCACGCAACAGCAACCGCAAGCCACGCAGCAGCAACCACACGCTACGCCGCAGCAGCCACAAGCTACTCAGCAGCAGCCACAAGCTAGAGAGCAGCAGCCACAAGCTACGCAGCAGCAGCCACAAGCTACGCAGCAGCCACAACAATGTCAGCCACAGGTCAGGCAGCAGCACACATCCATTGGAGCACATGAGGAAAAGACTATGGCAAATACAGGGGAAGGAACTTAAGGGGGTGATGCAGGTTTTTATGGTTTCAATTGAAAGGTTGCTTTTAGAATCTTAGGAGTAGAAAGCAGATGCAGGGAGGGGAACTACTGTATGCGAGGGCAATCAAAATTGGTAGTGATGGGAAAGTATGGTTTATAAGCGAATGAGAAATAGGATACGTTAGGATTTCTTAGGAAAATACATGTGAAAACTTAACAAAGCCCAAACAACTGCCACTACAGAGGCATAAAGATCATTGGTCTAACATCGCTCAATTAAACGGAAGTTGGCGGCGTGCTCTTGGCCAGGCTGCTTAGAAGTATCTATCAACACAACCGTTAATTTATAGGAAAATACTGTATTCGAGGGATCAACTGTCATGTGGGCTTGCCCTTTCCATAAATATTGCATGTATGAGCTTCCCTCAAAGTGCATGCACACGAAGTATGTTAGCCCAACACAGACTGGTAGGCTGAGAAATGATAAGCTTCACAAGTTTTGAGGTGTTTGTGTTGATATTATAAGCTTCACAAGCTTTGAGATGCGGGTGTTGACTTTGATTCATGTTAACGTATCATTTTTAGAATTAGCCGCAGAAGAGGTCCTAAAGATTCTGAACAAACCAAAGCATGCTGCGAACTCCGCAAGGCTGCACTGAGTCATCCATTGGTGAGTACGACAGTTACTTTCTCGTGCAGCCTGTCATTGTTGAAGTAACTGTCGTAACTGTTCATTCACGGTGTCCCGTCCCACGACTTCCGACATGGGATTCACTGCAACATTCCTTATTGTTCTAGAAATCTGCCGAGGCTGATTGCTCGCTTCTTGTACACTCAACACTCAGCACCAGGCACGACTTAAGTGTTAAAGAACAGCCATGTACTAGTGCAGCCAGGAAGTGCTGTCCAACCAGATCAGCGCGAGACACACTAAAAACGCTCGACACCAGCTGTTTTGGGCTAGACGAGGCTCGGAAATACAGAAGGTGCTCGTGCAGTACAAGCGTCTGCGTGTCAGTTAACGTGCGAAGAACGTAACAATCTCTGTTTGGGCGTATCAAATAGCCGCAACGACCAGAGCCCAAAAACGAACACCTACAAGAATCCCGCTTAGTGAACAAGAAGTAAAAGGCTGGGGTAGCTCGGCAGCAACAGGTTGAGATTCGAGCTGTGTCAGCGTCGCGATTTTCTTGGTCCGGCGGGTTACCCTAGGAAAATACTGGGGAAAGGTTTTCCCAGTGTTTTTACCCAGCCTGCTGGATCCAAAGGATCGATGCCCAATTTCAGGCTGTGATATAAAACCAGGCCAGGTGTATTGACCCCTCCATCTGCAACAGCAGGAGCGGGCAGCCAGACGAGGGCGTACAAGAGGACCTAGACGACAAGGCCGTGACGGTTTCTTGACGCTACAGTAAAATGCACCATGTTGTGGATGCTGCATTGAGTGTCAGCCAGGCCTTATTGTTTACCAGGAATTACCCTAATTTTGACGAAATAGCGGGTGATTGTTTTATCAAAATCGAATTGCGACATGTTCGATTTTCATGAACCCTGATTTGACGGGTACACTTTGACCAGAACACGTGAAGTGGCGTGCTCGGTTTTGAGAAACACGGAAACTCAAACTTCTCACATTACCCCACAGATCCCCCCGCCATTCCCTCCTCCCAGGGCACATCCGCCCAAGGAAGTTCAAGAATTAGAAGTATAAGAGCTGAGCGCAGAACTCGTATGTGGTTCCCTTTGCAGAATCCATGAACTTTTCATAAGAGCGTTTGTCATCACGGAGAAAATTCTTGGACTGAACCTGGACATTGACGGGTAACGTTTCAGATAAACCCGTTAATCCAGGTCCTACGAGAGAGATACCCGGATCTGCCGGGTGGACGAAAACCAAAAGGTAAGCCCTGGTGCCAGCAAGTCCGATTTCTGAGGACGTAGGCCAACAAGAAGGTGCAAAAACAGTTACTCCGCGATCACTCCACGTGTTTGTCTTGTTAACAGTACAGTGAATTGCTGGCGGACAAGGCGTCCTGAAACAGAGAGCATTGGACAATATACAACTGTTCATCGTGCAACCGTGAACATCAAAACTACCCCAACTGCCCTTTTCAAATTTGGGTAGGGTAGCTGAATCCATTACACACATTCCACTGAATCACGAGAGACCCACACACAAAGCAAAAACAAATATCCCAGAAACAAATACTACAATAGAAGGCATAATCACTTCCTGAAAATGGTTTCTAGGGAGAATCCTGCGGATGGTATAATTGTCCGCGAACCACTCAATACTTTCTTTCAGTTGCCCAATGATTACCCTCTGCCTGACAGATGTGGAATGTGGGAACCAGCAGGCTCAACAGTGGGATTAGGGATTCCTGCCCAGTCCGCGCATAAATTTGCACAGTGCACACCGCACACCGCACCACCGCGCATCCTCCCCACTTCTCACAAGCATTATGTGCATGCACTGCACCACCACCATCATCACCTGTTGACAATCCGCAACTGGGCAGCAGACACAATGTCTCTTGTAACATCGCACTCATCATGAAGCTAGCCTTTCTTGTTTCCCGAGGGAAGAGCACCTCAGGTTGACAAGTCCCCTTGCTTTGGAGAGGGGACGGGAAGAGAGAACGGGAGCAGCATTAGTAGGGCTGTATTAAGTCTGCCATCCGAACTTCTAAGTCCAGAACTACAACAACTACTAGGATTAGCCAAGGACGCATTTTGGAGATCCTGCTGATCCAGAGATTTTGTGATTGGTACTGGTGCCGAATCCTTCTAATTGTTTTCCAAAAAGCGACTCGGCATTTAATCTGCAAACTGTACCTGACTTTGTCAAGTCACTAAAAACTACTTAACTCATGCTCTTACCAATCCAGACTCCGCAAAGCCTGGGGTCGAAAATCCAGACCCATAGAAATTATAGCCCATGCCTGTGTAATTATAGGGTCTAGTGGCACCTGCCAGCGGTGCAGCAGCTGCCAGGGTCCCCGGAATGGTCGTGGCGTCTCTGTGGGCAATGGATCGCGGCGGGTTTCGTCAACATGATCCCCCTCAGCAGAACGCACAGGCGTCGAAAATGGCCGCCGCCGGTTTCAACATCGCACTTGTGTCGCCCATGATGTCGCCCATGTCGCCCATGCACCACGCGGCATCTGGCAGTGGAACCACTGCCACTTGTACTACTACTACCACATCGCCTGCAGCTGCCAACAGCACTGGCGAATGCCGCGCCGGTTTTACCCTTGGAGACGGCCATAACTTGATCATGGCTCCTCAGTTCTCTCCAGCGCCAGGAACAGGCACTACTAGCTATTTCGGTACTAACAACGACCCTGCTGCCGTTGCACACGATAAGCAGCGGCTGTTTCTAGAGAAGGGACGCCACCACCAGCAGCAGCAGCAGCAGCACTCCAATTATCCATCGGAGCAGCCCTGCCGCAGTGGTGGCGCCGGCCCATCAGCAAGAGGCCTGCACGCCGCGTTGCTAGTAGGCAGCAGTGGTGGCACCGCTGACGGCAGTGGATCAGGTGGCAGGCTGGTTGAATGCGGCAGCAGCAGCAGCAGCATGATGGCGATGGGGAGAGGCCATGGCGATGCCGCCTGCGACACCATGATGATGCCGCCCAATCTTGGCCTCTGCATAGGCCGTCCTGCAGCCATGGCCATGCCGCCGCCCGAAGACAGAGCATCTTCGCTCGTCGCAGCAGGCGCACCGCCATCTGATGCACATACTGCACATCCTGCACATGCTAGCCCACCCTCATCCCATGGACTTGTAGCCGTGGCCGGCCCATTTCTGCCACAGGCACCTGCAGATGATGCCTCCGGCCGTTACGAGGAGGAGGATCAGAAGCCGCAGGTGATGATGGACAAACAGCAGCACCAGCAGCAGCAGGCTCCACACGGAATGCGTGGTCAGCCCCTGCATGTGTTGGGCGCCCTGGTCGAGGGCAGGGGCATTGCTGCCCGCTTGGGCCAATCCGCTGTCTGTCCACGCTCTGCCATACCCCCTGCTGCTGCCTCCTTCTCCCCTGCTGCACACTGTCTCGCCCGCGGCACTGCAGGGTCCCCCATGGCAGTTGTCCCTCCACCAGTTCCCACCGCCTTGGCTTCACCTGGCCAAGGGGAGAGAGGAGGGGGAGGAGAAGGAGGAGCAGGAGGCGGAGGAGGAGGAGCAGGAGGAGAAGGAGTAAGAGGAGTTGGTGGTGGTGGTGGCGGCATTGGTGTTGGACGGTGGAGATCGTCGGATGCGATTGGATCCCTGGTTGGATTTCCCGGCCATGCGGCCACGGCTGCAGCTGCAGGGGGTCCGTGGACTGCCAGCACGACAATGACCAGATTATTGAAAGTGGACACCCTGGATTCTGCTCCAACCCCGCGTGCTGCTGCTGCCACAGCCACCATGCTTTGCACTCCCTCAACTCCAATCAATAGCCTTCCTCCGCCTCTGCCGCCTGCCCCTTCTCCTCCTCCTGTTCACCCCCTTGGCTTTTCTCCTCAGAATCGTTTCGTTGCCCCCCCCCACCACTCCCCCGCGCTCGCTGCCCTCTCTCCTCCACCTTACAATCGTGAAAACGCATCAGCAGCATCAGCAGCAGTAGCAGCCGCAGCAGCAGCAATTCTGGCAGCAGCAGGACTTTCAGCACCCGGCACTGTTACAGTGCCAGCTGCTTCTGCTTCTGCTTCTGCTTCTGCTTCTGCTTCTGCTTCTGCTTCTGCTTCTGCTTCTGCTTCTGCTTCTGATCCTGCTCCTGTTGCTCCTGCTCCTGCTGCTGCTGCTGCGTCTGGAGCGGCATTGGTGAATACCCCATCGGTCATCACTTCTAACTTCCCACCTACCCAAGCCGCCATGCCCGTTCAGCAAGGAGCCTTTCCAGCCCAAAGCCAACTGCACTTTCAGTCTTTCTGGAAGGACCAGTCGCAGCTGCACTTCCTTCTCAGCCTTGCTGCTGCGGGCCTGACTGCGCCTTCCGCTGCTTCACTACTATCCCACCGTCCCCCACCCGCACCTCGCACCACACCCCCCTCTGCTGCTCCGCGGCATGCGTTTGCTGCCGACACGCCTCCTGCGTCCCCTGCTTCTGCTCCTCCTCCTGCTCCTCCTCTCTCCGATCCTGCTTCTGTTGCCCCTTCGTTCCCTTGCACCGCCCTCCCTGCTTCGGCTCCTGTATCACGCCCGGGAGTCAACCCGGCAGGAAACACGCCCTCGCCGTCCAACCTCATGGCTGCAGTGGCTGCTGTTGCGGCTGCTATCGCTGCTGCTGGGGGTAACTCTGGGGGACAGCTAAACGCGCCTGTTGCTGACTCTGGCGCTCGTTGCAGCCCTGGCGGCGCTCCCAATGCAGCGGAGGGCGCAGTGGTGGGCGCAGCAGCCGCTGGTGCTAGAGATCCGGTCAGGCAGCTGCTGTTTGACTCGGGGGACAACCGCGGACCCAAGAGTCTTGCTCACATGCTGATGCAGCAGCAGCAGGTGCAGCAGCAGCAAAGGGATCAGCAAGAGCAACATCAACCGCTTGTGTCCCAATCACTACAGCACCACCAGCGCCACCAGCTTCAGCAGCAGCAGCAGCAGCAGCAGGCTGGGAGTGGCAGCGAGCAGCAGCAGGATTTGACGCCCGCATTGGAGCATGGCAGAGGTTGGTGGATGGCACTAAAGGGAGGCTCCATATCGGGTGAAAGAGGAACGCCCAGTAAAAATCCATCAGAGGAGGAAGGCGGAAGGGAGGGTGGAGATGGCAGCATCAGGAGCCGAAAGGTGCGGAACAGGAGAAGGGAGCTAGCACAACAGTGTGTGAGCAGTGGCGTGGGTACCAGTGGTATGGGTGGTGGCACGGGTGGTGGCACGGGTGGTGGCACGGGTGGTGGCTGGTACGACCACACACCAATAAAGCAGGAAGTCTCAAGCGGTCTTGGTGCTGGTGCTGGTGCTGGTGCTGGTGGCGGTGCTGGTACGGATGGAGAGGAGAGGGCATGCAGAGGAGTGGGGCCAATTGACGCTCCTGTGAGCAGTGCAAGCCGAGGCAGAGGGGCCACGCGAAAAATATCGCCCCATGCTAGCTCTGCCACCGGGGGCGCTGATGCTGGTGCCGGGCCCGGTGCTGCTGCTGCTGCTTCTGCTGCTGCTGCTGCTGATGCTGGCCATGGGAGGGCGAGCTGTGGCCGGAAGGATGGCAGTGACGAAACGGGTGCAAGCAGCCCTCGCACTGCTCCTGCTGCTGCTGCTGCTGCTGCTGCTGCTGCTGCTGCTGCTGCTGGTGGGGCTGGTGGTGGTGTTGGTGGTGATAGTGATGGGGTCGGTCGTGGGGGGGGTATCAACGACGATCCACAGCAGGTGGACTGGAGTGTGAGTTTTCAACGCATCGCTTGCCTCGTCCTCCCTCCTCTCCCCGTCGTATCCTCTCAAGCGGTCCGTTGTATTGATTGAAACGTTGTACATACTAGGCATGTGGGCAAACTTCAGAGCCTATCAAAGGTATGTGCATGCTGGGGGTGGGCAGCCGGACTACTGGAGCTCCCGGAGGGGCTCCGCTATGGCAAAACAGTCCCCAAGGCCCATGATGGCATCAGGGGTACCCACGGGGGGGTACTCCGCCGGGGCAGCCTCGTTGACCTTCCCGAGGTAGACCAGGGCCTGTGCCCATTGGAGCGTGACGGACCAGCGCTGGCGGAACTGATGCAGGAGCTTCGCCGCCTGGTAGGAGCTTGGGTCCGCGTTGAAAAGCCGTCTTGCTCCTGTGTCCGCCAGGAGCTTCAGAAAGCTGGGAACCTCGGCGCAGGGGCAGGCATAGGTCTCCACGGCCAAGGGGAAGAAACCGACATAAGGTGCGCGGTTACGATAGTGGTTAGGCTTCTTATCGGCCTGCTCCCGGGCCATGTATCCTCGCCCCTTGCGTGCGTGTGCGTCTTATCCTCTCTCTCTCTCACACACACGGACACACACTGTCCTACTCTGGCCACCCCTCTCCCCCTCCCCGATTAGTTGCTTTCTTCCTTTGGTTTCCTGACTATCCACAATCACCCCTTGCTTTGACTGGCCCGGCCTCTCAAACCTCCCCTTTCATCTCTCTCCTTCCCCTTCCTCCCCCTTCCCTCATTCCTTCTCCCTCCCTCCCTTTCCATCCCTCCCCTTTCCCCCTCCCTCCTCCCCTTCCCTCCTTCCTTTCCCCCCCCTCCCCTTCATCCATCCCCTTCCGTCCCTCCCCTGCATTCCCCTCCCGTTGCCTGCATCAACCTCCCTAACCCCACAGCCCACCTATGCAGAGGAGGGCGAGGAGGGGAGTGAGGGGGACCCGCAGCGTGGGCAGCAGGGGCGTGGGGCGCACTCCACGAGGCCACGCAGCGTGGCGGAGAGGAACAGGCGCAGCAAGATCAGGTGCGCGGGGGTGGGGAAGGGGGAGGGGAAGGGGGGAAGGGGGGAGGAGGGTACCGGGCAGGAGATTTTGCTTCCGGGAAGGGGGACGAGTGGGCTTGAGGGGCTGGGAGGCTGGAGGGAGGGTGTGGGTGGCGGAGGGAAGGGGGGAGGGAGGGGGGTGGGAGAGGAAAAGAGGATGTGTTGGGGGAGGGAGAGGTATGAAGAGGGGGATGGACAGTGGCCAGGAACTGTGGGATTGGGCTGCTGCACCTCTCGCTGCTTGCGCCAGCTTTACCTTTGCCAGCTTTACCAGCTTCACCAGCACCACTAAGGTCCTATGTGAAGCACCCTGTAGCCGGCTGTTTGCTGTCGCGGGTCTCGTCTCATCTTGTCTCCTGCTGTGCTCCTCTCCAGCCTGCTGTTCTTCCCTTTCGGCTGCTCTCCCCGCTGGTTTCCCATCAGCGCCTCCTGAGTGGACCAATGGACCCCGGCCTCTCTAGATAAGTGGAAAAGGCGCATTGGCACACCTCCCCCTCCCCATACCCCCACGCACACCGCAAACAGACATGCACACCCATTTCATCACATTAACATCACTCGTCTCCAACCCCGTCGCCTCTCCCCTCTCCCCTCTCCCCTCTCCCCTCTCCCTCTCCCCTCTCCCCTCTCCCCTCTCCCCTCTCCCCTCTCCCTCTCCCCTCTCCCCTCTCCCCTCTCCCCTCTCCCCTCTCCCCTCTCCCCTCTCCCCTCTCCCCTCCCCCCTCCCCCTCTCCCCCCTCCCCCTCCCCTCCCCCTCCCCCCTCCCCTCCCCCCTCCCCCCTCCCCTCCCCCCTCCCCCCTCCCCTCCCCCATCCCCCCTCTCCCCTCTCCCCTCTCCCTCCCCCGCCCCTCCTCTCCTGGTCACCAGCTCGCGCCTGGACCGGCTGAAGGACACGCTGCCCATCTGGAACCCGCGCATGGACACGGCCACCATGCTGGACGAGGCCGTCAACTTCATCTCGCTGCTCAAGCGCGAGGTGCGCCGCCTGCACGTCGAGCGCGACCTCCTCGCCGACCAGCTGGCGCCGGGGGCCAAGCGCCCCAAAGTCACCGTCAACGACAAGCTCGAGATCGACGTCACCTACGCGCCTCAGTAGGGGGTCTGGTCCACTCCTGAATAGCGCTGACGTTTGAGTCCACCCCAAAGGCATCTCCACCAGCTGCGGCCCAGCGCCAAGCGCCCCAAGTCACCATCAACAACAAGCTCGAGATCGGCGTCACCTACGCTCCTCAGTAGGGGATCCACACCTGAATATCAGCGGGTCAACAGGTGAATAAGGGGGTTTACGCTGCTAATTAGAGGGTCCACGGCTGATTCGGGGATCTATGGTCGTGGTAATGTAGGGTAGTGACGCAGCAGGGGTGAGTTGAGTAGATAGACGTGGATGGATCGCAAGAGCCCAGCCACAAGCAGGCACGTGACGTGACCTACGACAAGCCAAGCCCAGCCCGTGCGCTGTGCACAGTACCACTAGTACACAGCACTAAGGTAGTAGTACTAGTACATGCTGTGCCCTTGATGCCATCCCCCTGCCCCTGTATTAATGAAAGCCCTAAGCGTGGACCATTTTATGTATCATGTTTCCCCACCGTAAATCATGTTCCAGCCAGGTATCATACCGTAATCCCCCGTATATAACACCCTATGGTGTATATAAAAATTCACTAAAAAAATGACTGGGTGTTAACAGTGGCCCGGAAAAATAGTGCCCATGTGTTATGTAAAATGCAATTTGAATTTGAGTGTTTCAGGCCATGTGTGTTCAAAAATGCGCGGAGCGACTGTTAGCGAGGCACAACATCCACTAAGACGAAACTCACGAACCAATCGTCGTTGGCCAATCCCTGCTGAGTTGTGCGACACCTCCGACCGTCATGATCGCGACAGAATCCGCGACTTCGACGGGAGGATTTCGCTCGGGAGGATTCTGACCGTCAAATCACAACATAATCCATGACTTCGACGGTCGAAATCCTCCCGAGTCTCGACCTTTGCTGACGTTTCGATTTCGCGTTGCAACTTGTGTTGATGTTTCTGCCCGTTTTTTCGCTGCTAACAGTAGTTGACACTGCGTTTTTCATCCTGTTCGTCTTTTTTCTCAATCGAGCTGAGCTTGAAAACCTACGAAATACTGTTCTTAGCTGCATAAAACGAGGGTGTTATGTAAAATGCAACCCCCGAAAAGCGGGTGCTCTCCTAAATTCACCCTATCATAAGCTCTCCCCCGCATAAACCACCCGCGGAGTGACTATTTCGGCGGGTGTTATATACGGGGGATTACGGTATGCACCAATTGGTGTACACAAGGCCTCGCAACCACCTCTGTGACTCCAGAAACTTGAGAGGAATCCATTTCTGCTCCCATGCATGAACATGTTAAACGAGTGGCCAGAGACTTTAGCGTGCCGAATTCTCACCGACATATCTAAGGGGCTGCATTGCCAAGGAGCCAGTGCCTCTGGCAGGCACACTCCTTGCTTGCTCGCCGCAGCCGGCAAAGCATCCAAGGAAGAGAAGAGAAAGCCACACAGTAAAGCGTACAGGTAACTGGAACAAACCAAATCTGTGTGTCAATCTCCGGCTGGCCTAATCACATGTCTACACAACACGGCAGCCAAAGAGTCAGTCAGCTAAAGAACAAAGGGCGCTCAGCCGCGCACTACAAGGAAATTGCAGGGAGAGAAGGTGTAGACAAGGCAGTGAGTGAGCAGCGCAGCGCAGGTGTCCGCAGGGAGCTGGTCAGGTCACTGCAATGGAGCCAACGGAGCCAACAGACCCAGCCACAGCCGCACGCGAGAGTTTGTCCCTATCCCCAGAGCTGTGGGTCGGAGGTGTGCAGTTGAGCGAGGTCCACGCCCTTGCCCAGGAGAAAGTTGCCCGTGCGCACATACACCTCCTGCACCTGCTCCAGCTCCATCGACATCACCTGCGGGGTGGGGGACGCGGGCAAGGCGTAAGGGAGCAAAGTGGTGGGAAACAGGGCACATGAGGGGTGTGTGGACAGGCACATACATCTTCTGCACCTGCTCCAATCCATGGGCATCACCTGGAGGTTATGGGGGGCATGGGAGGTTGGGAGAGACGGGGGAACAACAGTTGCCCATGCACACATGCACCTCCTGCACCTGCTCCAGCTCCATTGACATCACCTGAGGAGGGGGCATCGGGACACGGGCGAGTGCAACAAGTGAGCGAGGACAACGGGGCAATAAAAGGGAAGAGCGGATGGAGCATGTGTGGCACTGCGAGAGGCCCATGGTCTAGCCTCTCAGGGAGCGAAATCCCTGCAGGAGGGGAGGCGATGCTGCGAGGGGACTGGGGACGCAGAGGAAGCAGGTCGGAAGCAGGTCGGAAGCAGGTCGGAGGCAGGTCGGAAGCAGGTCGGAAGCAGGTGGGGAGAAGGGGAGAGCAGGAATAAAGACGGTTTTCTCCTCTCCTTCACCAGCACATCCTTCACTCAACCCTCTTGCACAGACGCCACATGGGGGGGTGTGGGGTTGGTGGGAGAGACGGGACGTCAGTGAGGATTTGATGGCGGGGGTTGGAAGCAAAGCAAGAAGGCAGGGAGCGGCAGGACGCCAGTGTGCACAAGCAAAGAGGAGGAATGCAAAAGCTAAGGGAGAGAGCAGCGCACCTGGGAGAGCAGCGCACCTGGGAGAGCAGCGCACCTGGGAGAGCAGGCTTTCGACGGTGACGGTGTGCGGCGAGATGAAGGACTGGTAGTAGATGAAGGAGAACACCGCCATCACCATCTGGAGGAGGGGGGAGAATGGGTGGATAACGCAGGCGCCAGGAGGGACCGGCTGAAGGGCGCAGGAGTGCACAAAGACATGCATGGAAAGTCAAGGACAGCAGACCCTGGCCCTTGGTCCCAACACACTACACAGCTGTTCGATTCATCCACAACTACTGAAAGGCAGAAAGAGAACAGATACAGGCAGGCGCATAAGCATACATGGATGCCAGCAGGGCATGGTAGGGCATGGCACGGCATGGCAGGGCAACAATGTGCAAACCTGGCAGTCCATTCGGTCTGTGATGCCTCCATGGCCCGGAATCATCTCCCCAAAGTCCTGGTTCGCGCAAGCATGCACCAGCACACACATGACGATCAACGGGGGGGGGGAGGGGGGGAAGGGGGGGGTTGAACAAAGGAACAAGTGCCAAGCTGGCTGCAGCTGACACGCTCTACTGAGTGAGCAAGTGCGTGACTGCGTGTCTGGTCAGTGAGTGAGTGAGTGAGTGAGTGAGTGAGTGGTGAGTGCATAAGCGGTCACCTTGATCTTGAATGCGCGCTTGAAGCCCGAGGCGAAGAATCCCCCAAAGGGCGCGATGGAGGATGCAAAGATGGCAAACACCACCGCGTGCCGCTGAAACGACGACATCCACATGTGGCCCTGGGGGTCGCATGGAGGGGGGGGGAGAGGGTGGGGAGGGGAAAGAGAGCGACGAAGAAAGATGGGGCGATGGATGGAGCAGTGTCGAGACGTGTGGAGAGGACGTGATGGAAGAAAGGGGTAGCGGGATTGGTTGGGTTGGGAGTGGTGAGTCATGGAGAGCACGTCTAGAAGGGGCGAGAGAATGGCCAGTGGCCCGTTTTGCACAATAAAGGCAGGCCAGGCAGCACTAGAGAGACGGAGAGCTTGCGAGACGACGTGGCAGAGGGGTTGATTTGAGGCGGAGCAGGGAGAGTGAGGCGGTACTGACCGAGGGGGCAATGATGCGCAGCCAGAGGGGCACTGTGCGCAGCTGCTGCTGAAACATGAAGTCCGGGCGGCAGTGCAGCGGCCCCGTGCTCAGATCCTGCCATGAGGGCGAGGGGGAGGGGGGCGCCGGGGACCAGAGGGGGGGAACGTTGGTGGGGGAGGGGGGAAGAAAGAGATATATAGGGAGAGAATAGGGGTGAAGAGCGAGCAGGAGGGTGAGGGATGAGGATATAGCAAGGAAGGGAGTGGGGGTGGGGAAGTGACGGAGGTGGAAGGGGGAATGGAGAATGGGGAAGAGAGAGGCATTCGTGCTGCTGCTTGTCTCCTCATCCTCACACTCTCCCTCGTGTCCTGTTCCCCACCCTCCCTTTCAAAATACTCACTTCTATCCAGCAGCCTCTCGAGCCCTGCAACACAATAACATCCCATTCACGCCACAAAAAAAAAAAAAAAAAAAACCCTTCATCATTCCACCCCCTCTCTTGCCTCCCCCCTCGCCCTCCCCTGCCCCCCCTTGGGCGTACCTTGCGCGGGCATGTGAGCCACTCGTACTGCCCCAGGAAGCCTGCGAGCTGGATGGGGTGCAGTGCAGTGCAGTGCAGTGCAGGGCAAGGGGATGGGCGGAACGATGAATAGGCATGGATGGAGTGGGCGGATGTAAGGATGAGGCTGATGACGGAAGGGAAGAAGGAGAACTAAGGACGGATAACGGGGCCGCCAACAGCAACAGGGACACGGGAAGGCAGAGAGGGAGGTTAAGGAGAACGGAGTCCGAAAGAAGTGCAACAAGGGCGGCGGACGAAGAGAAAATGAAAGCCCGATGGCAGGAGAGCACAGAGATAAAATGTGACGATTGGTGACGATCCGAGATGCTGATAGGTGACAGATAAGGGCCAAAGGACAGGCAGAGAAGGGGCAAGGCAGGGTCGGGGTGGGGTCTGACGAGGAAGGCGGAGACGACGGTGGTGATGGAGGCCCCCAGGAAGCCCTCCCAGGTCTTCTTGGGCGACAGCTGGATGAGCGGCGTGCGGCCGAAGAAGAACCCAAACACGTACGCCGAGCAGTCGTTGATGATGATCAGCGAACACGGCAGCAGGAACCTGGGGGGGGGGGGGGGAGGGGAAAAGAGAGAGGGAATAAGAATGCTGCTGGTGATGAAGGGGAAGTGGTATGAGTGAACCGAATCCGCGCACCCCAGTCCGCCCGCCCTACACACACGCAGCACATCCCCCTTCACACACACCAGGCGATGCCCCAGCCCCCCACTCCCACCAGAGGCTGCTTTTGAAGCGCCTCGAAAGCACCCCCCACTCCCACCAGAGCCCAGGCGCACACACCAAATGAGCCGAAGGAGCTGTTTTGGAACTTGTAACAGGAAGATGGTAACCACATCAGCGCACCCCCCCATCCACTCTGCCCTCCACATTGGCAGCTCCCCCCCACCCTTATCCCCACACTCCCTTCCCCCCCACTGCACCCCATGCACACACTCACCAGAGCCCAGCCCCCACGCACCAAACGACCGTTCCTCTGGAAGATGTTGGCGACGAGGAGGGAGGACTGGAAGAAGCTGCCACATTCCGCTCCCCACAGACCGAATGGCCGCCCCCGCTCAACCCCACCCCCTTAACCCCCCTTCCCCCGCCCCCACTGACCAGACGATGCCCCGAAAGATGTTGGCGACGAAGGGGGAGGACTGGAAGAAGACGCTGGGTTTACAATCGCGCGAACCACTCCACCCCACTCCACCCTCCACACCGGCAACACAGCCACCTCCACCCCAGTTACACCTCCCTTCCACCCCACCCCCCACTGACCAGATGATGCCCTGGAAGATGTTGGCGACGAAGAAGGAGGACTGGAAGAAGACGACGAAGAGGATCATGTGCGTCCACGCGAACTGCCCGAACTGGTACTTGTATTGCCCCGGCCGCAGACTCAGAATGAACCACACGAACCCTGCCGGGGGGGGGGGGGGGGGGGGGGAGACGGCTAGCTGTGGGACGGGGGCCGGAAAAAAATGCAGGAAGAAGAAGGGGCTGGAGATATGCAAAGGGACGGGAAGCGGACGGAAGGGAAAGGAAGGGAAGGGGGGAGTGAAAGTGAGGGGGACGATGCGTGAAAAGGACGCGAAGAGAAAGTCAGAGGCGAGAGGAGAGCAGGAAGAGGGGGAGAGGAGGGGGGGAGACAGAAGGTGGGTTTCTCTTGAGGTGGTGAGAGGGGGTGGGAAGGGGTTTGGTTAGATTGTGGTGCGTGCCTATGATGTAGAGCGAGTAGGAGATGCTGGCATGGTACCACAAGAAGGAGATGAGCACGTGGAGAGATTTTCTAGAGTTCTGTGCAACTCCAAGGGGTGCAGGAATTGGTTTGGGTTCGGATGGGTTTGGCTGGGTTCTCGCCTATGATGTAGAGCGAGTAGGAGATGATGGCGTGGTACTGCAGGAAGGAGATGAGCACGTGGCGGTGCAGCGGGCGCGTGTCGTCCGACGTGAACGACACCATCAGCTGCCGCCGCATGAAGCTGCCGTACACGTACACCATCGCCGTCACGAAGAAGTGCCTGGGGGGGGTGGAAGAGGGGGGGAAGGGGGGGGGGGGGGGGGGGGGGGTGGGGTGGGGAACGGAGGAGTGGGGGAAATGGGAAAAGGGTGGGGCCAAGGTTGCGCATGAAGCAGCCGTACACGTACACCATGGCCGCCACGAAGAAGTGCCTGGGGGGAGGGGGGGCGGAGTGACGGAGGAGTGGGGGAGAGAGGTGCGGGAAAGTGGGGGCAGGTGAACGGGAGAAAGAAGAGTAGCGCATGAACCTGCCGTTCACGTAGACCATGGCCGTCACGACGACGTGCGTGGGGGGGACCGGGGGGAGAAGAGTGTTTGGGGGCGTAGAATGGGGACGTGGGGAAAGGGTGGGGTGGGGCCCAATGCAGGGGATTAGTTGCGCTTTAAGCTGCCGTACGCGTTCCTTCTCTTCATCCCTCGGTTCCTTTTCAAATCCTTCCCCTCATACTTCGTTCAACTCCCCCTCTCTCTCCCCCCACACTCCCCCCCCCCCTCTCCCCCCCAACAGCCGATCCGTCTCACCAGTTTAAGAACCGGAACGCGGCGTGCTGCTGGTGCGACCGCGACCGAATCGCGCGAGTAGCCAATCCAAAGAGCTCGTGCGTCATGAGGATCTGGAGCGCGATGATGAGCGCCCAGATGTACACGTGGCCCATGTACACGATCACCGCGAACCCGCCGATCATCCACACGCTCGACCGAACGCGCGTCCACATCCCCACGTACTTCCGCTTATCGTTCATCAACAGAGGCGGCTGCGCTTCCGCTGCGCCCGTTCCCCCGCCAGCCCCGACCCCGTCCTTTCCCCCCCCGCCCTCCCCGTCTCCATGCCACTGCGCCTCTTCCCCTCCCCCCGCCCCGCTTGTTTCCCCGCCCCCCCGCGAGCGACTCCTCGGGGAGAGAATCTCTTGCGCCAGGCGCGAGCCCGCAACTCTCCGCCTGACCAGCCCCTCCCCTCCGCTTAGCCGGTCGCTATCCCCCGCTTCCCGGTCGCGCTCGAACTCCGACTCTCTGTCCGTATCGCGGTCCGTGTCCCTGTCCGTGTCGCGGTCCCTGTCGCTCTCGTCCCCCGCGCTCGGCTCGCCGCGCGCGTCTTGGCGCCACTGCGGGGGGGACGCGTGCTGCCACCGCGGCTGCTCCTCCCCCTGCATCCCGCCGCCCTTCTGCGCCGTCCCTAATCCGCCGCTGCTCTAAAAAAAATCTCACAAAGCAAACGCAGTCCCTGTTGCTGCGTGCCGCTTGCCCCGTGCAACGTGGAGCTTACAGCCTCCCTGACGCCTGTAGCCTCGTTTACTACCCGGACCGCAGCCGTCACGTCTAGCTGTTTGTTCTACGACTGCTACCCGTCGATGTCAAAGCATTCTGCTTCAATCGCTACTGCTACCGCAAATCGAAGAAAAAACAATCCCTTCGTAACCCCGATCGCCTCCCCCTCTATCCACGCCCCCTGTTGCACTACTATCCGCGTCAATCTCGCTAAAAAAAATTATGAAATAATCGGCTGTAAAGGAACGTAAGGCTGCTGCTTCTCCACAAAATTCGAAGAGCCGACAAGATTATGCTGATGATCGGAGCAGGATCGCTGAGGACAAAGCACGGACTACTGGAGGCCACTAATACCATTCGCTCGCAACTACGACACTATGCCGACGCGAATTGCTCGACGTGGAAAAAGCAAATCGAGAGATTCAGTGACGCCGGCCGAAGTTGACGACTCTACGAACCACTAGGCAACACGAGCCGAGGAGCAGCCGCAGCTACTTAGTAGCTGCTTCTATACTTCACAGTCCCCTACCATCGAGAATTCTACGGTGCTGCAGTGCGATGCTGTGGCGTGGCGTGTGAAAATGGATTTGCTTGTAGCCGCACCTCGATATTTGTCCGCCCGGCGTTTCGTTTCGTCCTCACAAAGCAACCCGTTTCGCCTGGCGTTTCGTGTTGGGATTAGGGAAGGCGTGGGGGGGGGCTCGGGGGAAGCGCACGCATCCTTCCAGATTTGTTCATCCGACCAATCACGGTGCCTGTTCGCCTGTTTGGCCAATCAGCGCCTCTTCCCGCTCCCCCAGGCTGTTGCGGAAGGGTGGAGGCAGGGGAGGATTTTCCGCGCAAACTGAGGGTCTGACGCGGACGCCTCGTTCGTGGAGGCCTCAGTGCTGTCTGGTGGCCAGGAATTCCCGCGCAGATGGGGGTGACAAACCACGGCTTGAACAGATTTATGCATCAGGTACACCAGTAAGAATGTTCGTAAGCCAATAAAAAATACCTATGAAGGAACTCAAAGAATCTGAATGTAGTAGTTCCAATTTATACGTAAACTATGCAACGGTATTTTAATCCATCGCATTCCATAGAGGGGTATCGTAGCATCACTTGGACAGATTAAATATCAGCTCTTGCAAAAGCAACATATAGTCCATAACCAGGTGTACTTATGAACTAACCAAGAAACGGTGGGTGCAACCAATTGTCAGCCAATACAACACGCCCGCACACTAGCCCTCGCCCTTTTCTTCTAGTACCGTACTTCCCTCTCCACCGAGTCCGCTCTTCCTTATCACTTTCTTCCCTCTTTCCGCGATCCGTCCGGCACATTCATCTCGACCAACCTTGTAAGATCTCCGCCGTTAGAATGGGGCGCACACTCGAAGACGATGACGAGTGCTTCCCAAGAGGTCTGTATATCGACTCTTCGCAACCAGCGCTTCCTTGTTGGAACCGAGCGTTTAAAGCCGAGTGCCACGTGAGTTGCGACTTCTACAGCAGCGCATGGCATTGAGAAGCGTCATCTTTTCCCGTGGGTTCCTCCACTTCCCCCCACAATTCCCCACATCCCTCCTCTTGATGTGAAATCGCAGGAAAAGCGCCTCTCGCAAAGTCGTCAGCAAAGTCTCCCACACCCCGGCCTGCAAAACCCCGCAAGGCCGCGTCAGCTAGCCCCGCCGCATCGGGCGGGGACAGGGTTTTGGGCGGCGAGGGTTTTGTGAACGATGAAGGAAGGAAAGGAAAAACCCCGGTTAGGGAAGGAAAGGCCAAGGTCGAGCGTGGGGAGCGTGGGACGAAGGATCGGAAGCGGCCTCGCGAGGAGGTCGCAGGGGGGGAGAAGGAAGACGCTGGGGGAACGGCGGAGAAATCTGGTAAAGCGGGAAAGAAATCCCCCAAGGCGGGAAAATCGGAGGCGCGGGGAGACGGGAAGGCGGCGGCGCAGGGGAAGAAGAATAAGCGGACGAAGGGAGCGGGTGGGTCGGTAAGGCAGGGGGTGAGCGTGTTGGAGGAGTGGGTGGAGGGAGAGGAGGATATAGGCGAGCAGGTTGCGCTTGCGAGGGCGGAGGAAGCTGCGAAGAAGGATGCGGAAGAGATCAAGAGGCGTTTGGGGGGAAAGGAGAGCATGGCTCGGAGTGTGAAGGGCTTTACTGCTCAGGTGCGCTCAGATCAGATCGCCTGTGGTTTTAGACTAAGAGTGAAGAATTAAACGGTGAAGAAGCAGTTTCGAACCAATGCTGACTTCTCTGTTGCTAGTTTCGGAGTTTCGTGATTCGTCACCACAAAACCCTTAAAACCCCGAGTTAAAACCCTGCTACTCCTCCTCCTTTCCCGACATTGTGTTCATCGTTGTCCCCTGATCTCGTGATCCAACGGCTACCAGGACGCCACGCCAGGCATGCAGCTGTGGGGCTGTGTTGCTGAGGTCACTCCGTCTGGCCTACTTGTCAGCCTGCCACATGGCGTCCTCGGATTCGCTGACGTGGCAGAAGTATCTGATCAGATATCAGGTCTTCAAGGAAAGGCTGAGCGGGGTGAGGCAGTGGATTGGGGACAGGAGGACGAGGAGATGAAGGAGGAAGGGGAGGAGGAGGAGGAGGAAGGGGAAGGAGGAGCAGGAGACAAGAGCATCAAGCAGAAGGTATGCCATCCCTACCTCCTTCCTTTACTTCTCCTCTTCCCCCTCTCCTCCTCCCCCCCCCCCTTCTCTCCTCCCCCCTCTCCCCCCTCTCCACTTCCCCACACTCCCTCTTACGCCCCCTTTCGCTTCCGTCACCCGCTCTGGTCTGTTATCCCACTCCCCTGAACTTCTTTCCTTCCCTGCCCTCCAAAAACCTTTCTGCGTCTCCTTAAACCCTGCGCCCTCCCCTGCTCCCCCCCTGCTTCCCCCGCCAGACCCCTCGCGCGCGGGCGGCAGATTGGATGGCGCGCATTTTTTCCCAGGGGCAGCTCGTCCCCTGCACTGTGCTCCCCGCCCCTGCATCTCCCGCTGCTGCTGCTGGTGGTGCTGCTGGTGCGGCAGGGGCAGGCATGGTAGCAGCGGGGGCAGACGTGGCGGTGTCTGTGCGTCTGTCTCGCATCCAGGGGCCTGTGGTGCGGTTCAAAACCGTGCCCAAACACACGGTGGGTTTGGAGGAAGAGGGGGGGGGGGGGGGGGGGGGAGGGGGGAGGGGGGGGAATTGGGGGGCGTTGGAGGAGTAAGCGAGAGATGGAGGCTGAACGGTCGGATGGAGTTGTTTGGAGGGCGGAGACACAGGCGTTGGTTGGCTGAAACTGCTAGTTTGCATCTCGTGACATCTCAGGTCCGCAAGTGAACTGCCCACCTTACCTTATTTCACGTCGCCTCACGTGTGTATGTGTGTGCGTATGCACGATGTGTATGATACCTCATGCATGCATCTGTGTGCACAGGAGCTCTGGGCGGCAGTGGAGAGTGTGGAGGAGCACGGGGTCATCCTGTCCTTTGGTCTGCGCACCATCACTGCCTTCCTGCCCTTCACCCAGCTCAACCAACGCTGTACGCACGCACAGTACCACAGCACACTGTTCGTCACTCCTCCTTGTCGCTCCCCGTTCTGTATCCTCCTCATTTCAACTGGAAGCTCTCCCCGTCCGTCCCTCCTCCTCTCCATTCGCTCTATCTCCTATCGCCCATTCGCCCTCATCCCCCCTGGCATCCCTGGTCCCTTGCGTTCCTCCTTCTCCCCTTACACCGCCATCAGTCCCTGGCGTGGCGTTCCGCAAGGGCCAGCTGCTGCCAGTGCCGGTGGTGGTGGAGGGCCGGGACAAGGCGCACAAGACGCTCACAGTCTCACTGGAGCCCGTGCCGTCCACTGTAAGTAACGCTCCCATTCCCGTGATAGCTGCTTTCTCTACCTCTCACTGGGAGCCGTCCCTTCCCTTTCACTGTCAGTCAGAGCCTCTTGGCCGACAGTTTCTTTTTTTCATGTGTATATGCACTGGGAGGCTGTGTGTGCGGGCTCTTTTGTGTGTGTGTGCGTGTGTGTCCCCCCGAGAAAGAGGTCGCTAGTTTCCATCTCCTTACAACGGCCCTCGATTCCCCACCTTCCCCACACCACCTGTCACCCTTCCCAGGGCAAGGGGGCACAAGCCCCGGCAGGGGCAGAAGCAGCAACCGGGGAGGTGGAGGAGGGCGAGGAGGAGGGAGGCGTGGCGGTGCTACCGGGACAGCTGGTACAGGGCAAGGTGCTGCATGTCACGGACGATGGCTCCATGGCTGTTGCTCTGCCCACCGCCACCGCTTGGGTGAGTGTAGCAACAGGCTAGGCTTCTCAAAGGCAAATCTACCTTGAGGTGCCGTCGGTGATTTGCTTTTGAGTCGGCTCAAACATCACCGTGGATAAGTGTAGTATCCGGCTAGGCTTCTCAAGGGCAAATCTACCGACTGCCACTGCCGGGGTCAGTCAGTGTGGGTCAATGCGTGTTGGCTCTGCCTCCTGAACATTCTTTGCTGCTCTCCTCTCCTCCCTCCCCTCTCCCGCATCCCCTCTTCCCCCCCCTTCCAGGTGCACCCCTTGAACCTGCCTCGCCCGCTTCTCTCCCGCGACCAGTGCCTCGCCATCTTCCCCATCGGCTCCATGGTGCGTCCCTCCCATGCCCTTTCCGCCACCATTCCCCTTCCGCTGCCATGCGTCCATACCACGGTCCACCACACCACCTCTCGTACCCACAGCTCTATCCATGCCTCCTCCACCCTCGTGTTCCCGAATCCCCGTCTGTATGTGCATCGCTGCCCGTTTCCCATTGCCCATTGCCCATTGCCCATTGCCCATTGCCCATTGCCCATTGCCCATTGCCCATTGCCCATTGCCCATTGCCCATTGCCCATTGCCCTTTGCCCATTGCCCATTGCCCATTTCCCATTGCCCATTGCCCTTTGCCCATTGCCCTTTGCCCATTGCCCTTTGCCCATTGCCCTTTGCCCATTGCCCTTTGCCCATTGCCCTTTGCCCATTGCCCATTGCCCATTGCCCATTGCCCATTGCCCATTGCCCATTGCCCATTGCCCATTGCCCTTTGCCCATTGCCCATTGCCCATTGCCCTTTGCCCATTGCCCTTTGCCCATTGCCCTTTGCCCTTTGCCCATTGCCCTTTGCCCATTGCCCTTTGCCCATTGCCCTTTGCCCATTGCCCTTTGCCCTTTGCCCATTGCCCTTTGCCCATTGCCCTTTGCCCATTGCCCATTGCCCATTGCCCATTGCCCTTTGCCCATTGCCCATTGCCCATTGCCCTTTGCCCATTGCCCATTGCCCTTTGCCCATTTCCCTTTGCCGATTGCCCTTTGCCCATTGCCCTTTGCCCATTGCCCTTTGCCCATTGCTCTTTGCCCATTGCCCTTTGCCCATTGCCCTTTGCCCATTGCCCTTTGCCCATTGCCCTTTGCCCTTTGTGCTCATGCTCCGCTCCTGCCCACCCTGGCACCACCAGGTCAAAGCTCGTGTGCTGTATTGCACTCATGCATCCGCTAAAGCAACAGGCAGCAGCGGCAGCAGGGCTCCCGAGTCGGACCCTAGTGTGGTCGTGCCTTCCATTGCTCTCTCTCTCAGCTCATCACTCCTCCGCACCATGCCTCCCTCAATCGAGGTATCTACATTTCTGTTCTTCTCCTCCCCCAAACCCCCCCCCCCCGCCCCCCCCTCGGCCTCCCCTGCAAGTCCTCTACGTTGTGTCCCCCTCGTTCCCCCCCGCCCTCATGCTGCCTGTTGTGTCCCTCCCCTAGTTTTGAGGCGCCTCAAAACTTGCCTGTTGTGTCCCTCCCCTTCCGTTGAAACCCAGGCATCCGACCATTCAGCCGCCCCCACCCTCCCCTCCTATCTCCCTTTTCAAACCTGCACTCGCCCTCGCTCACCTCGCTAGCACTCCCCCCCCCCTCCTTTGCTGCCACCATCCTCGCATTCCCCTACCCTCCTCTAAGTCCCCTCCCCTCCTCCACCACCCTCTGCTCTGTTCTCTCTGCTCTCCCTGCCCCCTCCCCTGCTTGCCCTCGGCCCCACCAGTGGCAAGCGTCCCCCTCAGCCCCCCCCACGAAGGTGCTCCCGGGTACGCTCTTCCCCGCTGCTGTCATCGTGCGCATCCTCCCTGCACTGGGGGTGCTGCTGCGGCTGGCAGGGGGGGAGAGGGCGGGCGCAGGGGGGAAGCAGGGGGCAAAGGAGAGGAAGTCGCGGCAGGGCAAGGCAGCGTATGCGCTTGTTCCGGTGAGTGCTGGTGGATGGGTTGTTTGTGTGATAGTAATTTAGTTCTGTCATCCTTTCACTACTTAGCGACGTTTCAAAAGTAAATTTCTCTCTTGAATGGGCTGGTTTTTGCCTCGGAAGCTTATGTGTGGCAGACAATTCGCTTTGTAATATGCACCGAGACGTGGGTAACATGGTGCGTTGGTGAACTGCACAGCATGCACTTTACCGTGTAGTTTTGAGGCGCCTAAAAACAAAACTGCTTTCCCTCAGAACATGCCTCTAAACCCTGCATCTCCCCTCCCCTCCCCCCTCCCCTCCCCCCTGCCCCCAGTTGGCCCATCTCTCCTCGTCCCGCATGTCCCACGTGCCGCCACACCTGTCAGTGGACAAGCAAGTGTGTGCACGCGTGCTGCACCTCTGCCCCACGGACGGGCTCGCCATCGCATCCCTCAAGGTGCGCCGTGGTGATGCTGGTGATGCAGGTGATGCAGGTGATGCTGGTGATGCAGGTCATCCAGGGTGTTTCAGGTCAACTTCAGAAGGAGTGCCAAGAGAGGCACTTCAAAGTGTTGTGTGTACGCCTTTTGAAGAGCACACCCTCCTCACCTCAAAGCTCCCTTTCACAAGAAAGAAAACATAGGCTTAGCACACCCAACATGATGCCTTGAGGCACTTCAATTGTGCGCTCTCCTCCATCCTGCCACCCCTTCAATCAACCTCCCTTAACAACCCCCCGTCCTCCCTCCCCCACTCCAGGACATGTTAGTCAGCTAAGACGTTCCTCTCCTCATCGGGAGTTCAGCCTGGCAAGGTGTTGACGGGCACGGTGGAAGCAGTGGCGGAGGGGGGAGCGCGGGTGCTACTTGCTCACTCACTTTCAGGCGCCTCAATTGACTCCCCCCCTGCCCCTCCCCTCCTCCATCTTCCCTCCCTCCTCCCCACCAGGACGTGGCGGTCAAGACGTCCCCCTCCTTGCGGGGCGTGCAGCTGGGCAAGCTGGCGACGGACACGGTGGCAGGAGTGGCGGCAGGGGGAGCGCGGATGCTTCTTGCTCGCTCACTCTCAGGCGCCTCAATCAACTCCCTTCCCTGCCCCTCCCCTCGTCCGCCCCTCCTCCACACCAGGGCATGTCAGTGAAGACGGCTCTCCCCTCATCGGGCGTGCAGCCGGGCAAGCTGGTGACGGGCACGGTGGCAGCAGTGGGGGTGGGAGGAGCGCGGGTGCAGCTGGCGTTCAGCCAGTGGGGTTCGTGCCCCAGGGCGCATTGGGGCGAGGGCAGGGACGGCCACAAGGACGAGGCTGCTTTCCAGGTGGGGCTGCCGTTGAAGGTGGTGGGGGGGAGGGGGGGGAATGGGGTTGAAGGTGAGCAAGCACGAGCGAGAGAGGGGTGAGGGAAAGGATGGTGGGGGACAATCGAGAGGAGGCCGGATGTGGGCTGGACCACAAATGGTCAAACACCTGGCCTTCAAGTCTTCAGTCTTTTTCCTCCCTCCTGGGTTTAGTGGTCCTCCCTTGTGCCCTTTGCATTGGTCTTTCTTTCACCTTTTCCCCCGCTTCCCTCCTTGTTGCCTGTATGTCTCACCAACCCAACCCGTCCTCCAGCCGTTTTTCTTTCTCTCAAAAGCGCCCCAGAGATTGTTTTCCCATTCTCCCTCCTCACCAACCCTCCCATCCGCTTCTCTTCCCATCTCTTCTCTTCTCTTCTCATCTCTTCTCTTCCCATCTCTTCTCTTCCCATCTCTTCTCTTCCCATCTCTTCTCATCTCATCTCTTCTCTTCCCATCTCTTCTCATCTCTTCTCATCTCTTCTCATCTCTTCCCATCTCTACCCATCTCTTCCCTCGCCGTCCTACCAGCCAGGGGCCTCCTTGCAGTTCCGGGTGGTGCGCCAGGCTGAGGGGGAGGACGGGCAGGTGCTGCTTACGCACAAGAAAACTCTGGTAGGCTCAGCTCAGGAGCCGTTGGCCTTTGGTCAGAGACCTGAGCGAGGAAGAGGAAGGGAGGGTGGGAAGAGGGTGAGAGGACATGCATGAGGGAGGGGCTGAGGGGGAGGGGGAAGGGGGGGGGAGGGGTGGGGGGACATAAAGCACGTACACATGATACCACACTGCACCATGACCATATTCATCCTACATCTGCATGCCGCAGCAGGCGCGCATATGTGTGCGTGCGTGCGTGCGTGCGTGTGTGTGTGTGTGCACAGGTCCATCCATTACCCTCTCCTCCTCTGCACTCATTCACCTTCCAAACCCATCCCCACCCCTCCCTTTTCCTCCCCTCTCCATTTCCCGCCGTACCACCCACCTCTCCTCTCGCCTGTCCGTACCGACGAGCCTATATTTGAGTCCCCTAAGAAAAAGACCCCTGCTCTTCCGCCCCCCCCCCTCCCCTCCCCTTCAACCCCCGCGCCACACAGCTCTCCTCGCGCCTGCCCGTGCTGACGAGCCCCTCCCAAGCCATGGCGGGTGCATGTGCGCATGGGTGGGTGGAGGCTCTGACGGAAGATACCTGCACCGTGCATTTCTACGGGGACTTCTCTGCTCTCATTCACAGGTGCGTGTGTGGTGGGGATGGGGGGAGAATAGGGATGGGTTTTGAGTCGACTCGAAGGTCAGGTGTGCATGCACGTGGGTGGGTGGAGGCTGTAATAAAGGATATTTGCTCTGCGCATTTCTATGGGGTCTTCCATGCTCTCAGTCACATGATCACAGGTGTGTGTGTGTGTGGAGGGGAGGGGATGGGGAGGGGGAGGCGGATAGGAGGGGAGGGGGGTATATGAGGAATGATGTGAAGAGAGGGATACTGAGGTGCTTTCTTGGTGGCTGTCTCAAACGCGTTTCCATGCTGCTGATCATGGGTCACTGAGCGTGCTAGCCTCGTGAGGAGTGGGAGTGGGAGTGGGAGCGAGAGATGGAGGAGAGGATTTGGGAGGAAACACCTATCCGATGCTCTCGCTGCCCATGCACTCTCGTTCCCCTGCTCTTCCTATTTTGAGGCGCCTCAAAGCCACTCTCGTTCCCCTGCTCTTCCTCTCATCAAACCCGATTCGCCCTCTGTCTTCCTCAGGTTGAGGAGTCTATTTTTTAGGCGCCTCAAAAATCAACCCCGATTTGCCCTCTGTCTTCCTCCTGTTGTCCTCCGGTTGCCCCCTGTGCTCCATGTCACACCATGTCCCGCCCACCATCTCTCCCCCACGCTATCCCCCTGCAGGAGCCAAGAGGAGCAGGCAGGGGAGCCGTCCCCCTGGTCATCGCTGCATGTGGGGCAGGTGGTGCGCTGCTACGCCCTGCCCTCTGCCGACGCCACCAAGCCTGCCTTCTCCCTCCGCTCGCCGTCCCCGCCCTTCAGCAACCATGCGTAAGACACGACCTGTCACCCCCGGCCCGGTACCTATTCCCCTCCCCCCTTCTTGGGTTTCCCCCTTGCTCTCTCTCTCTCTCTCTCTCTCTCTCTCTCTCTCTCTCTCTCTCTCTCTCTCTCTCTCTTTCTCTCTCTCTCTCTCTCTCTCTCTCTCTCTCTCTCTCTCTCTTTCTCTCTCTCTCTCTCTCTCTCTCTCTCTCTCTCTCTCTCTCTCTCTCTCTCTCTCTCTCTCTCTCTCTCTCTCTCTCTCTCTCTCTCTCTCTCTCTCTCTCTCTCTCAAGCGGTCCGTGTATTTCTGAAACCTGGGTACAACTAGGCATCGGTTGACAAGGAAGGTGAGTACAAAACACCTACGCACGCGGTGTGCCTATGACCACTCCAGTACCGGCTCCAGGACCCCGAAGCAGTCAGCTGGAGAGAGAGACTCCTCAGGTGAGCCGATGGGCGGGGGCTCCGCCTGGGCCGCCTCGTTCACCTTCTTGAGGTAGGACGCGGCCTGGCTCTCTCTCTCTCTCTCTCTCTCTCTCTCTCTCTCTCTCTCTCTCTCTCTCTCTCTCTCTCTCTCTCTCTCTCTCTCTCTCTCTCTCTCTCTCTCTCTCTCTCTCTCTCTCTCTCTCTCTCTCTCTCGAACGGTCCTTCATTGCTGGGATACCCTGGGTACAAGCGAGGCATGTTAGGTGAGTACAAACATGTATGATATTCTGGCCGAGCTCCTAGTCTACCACTATTCCCTAGGGTGCTCGATGACAGCGAAGCAGTCCCCTAGGGACATGCCCGCGTCAGGAGCGCCGAGGGGAGGCCCTTCGAGTGGCGAGGCTTCGTTCACCTTTCCAAGATAGGTGAGGGCTTGTCCCCGCTGGAGGGTGACAGACCAGCGCTGGCGGAACTGGCTAAGCAGTTTAGCCGCCTGGTAGGAGCTGGGGTCGGCGTTGAAAAGGCGGCGGGCGGCCGTGTGTGCTAGAAGCTTAAGGAAGGTTGGCACTTCGGCGCAGGGGCAGCCATACGTCTCGACCGCGAGCGGGAAGAAACCGACGTATGCTGCCCTGTGGCGGTAGTCGTCGATCTTCTTGTCCGCTTGCTCCCGGGCCATGTATCCTCGGCCCTTGCGCGCTAGCGGGTCCCGAGAGCTTACTGGGTCGGTGACGGTGACGTCGCAGATCCAGACCGCCCCCGAGTCCCGGTCACGCACGGCCAGGTCGGCGGTCTTGCCATCGACCGGGTTGTAGATCGCTGTTTCCTTCGTGACTATGAGCTGCGTGTCCCTCCCCATGCGAATGCACTCGTCTCGGAGGGCGTTGTGGGTGTCGGTGCGGCCATGCCCTGTCCCACAACGGAATAGGTGGTTTGTTAGGCGAGGGACAAAGAGTAACAGCCTCTCTCTCTCTCTCTCTCTCTCTCTCTCTCTCTCTCTCTCTCTCTCTCTCTCTCTCTCTCTCTCTCTCTCTCTCTCTCTCTCTCTCTCTCTCTCTCTCTCCTCCTCGTCCTCCGCTCCTCCTTTGGCCACCCTTTTTTTGCACCCGGTGGGGCAAGTCGCCTCTTCCCAGGGCAATCCGCCTCTTCCCAGCCCAGGGCGATCCGCCCTAGATAGGGAGACATGTGAGAGTGATAGGGATGCGGGGGAATGACATTCCTTCGGCGGGGTGTGCGCGCACTCCAATGCGATATTGGTTGTGATTTATTACTCTCTTTCCCCCCTCCCCTCCCTGTCCCATTCCCATCCACAGGACCCTATTCCCCCCGTCCTCGCCCCCCTCCTCCTCGGGTCCCGCTCCTCACCCCTCCGTGCTGCCCGCTGCGCTGCACGCAGTGGGGGCAGTCATTCCTGAGGCGCATGTGGTGCGGCGCGACGCACACTCGCTGGTGCTGGCGCTGCCTGCTGCCAACGGCGTGCAGGAGGGCGTCATGGCTGTGGAGCACCTGGCGGACCACCCAGGTACGATCGCACGCTGTGTGGTGCACGCTGTGTGGTGCACGCTGTGTGTTGCACGCTGTGTAGTGCACGCTGTCTGGTGCACGCTATGGTGCTGGTAGTGGTGGTGCGGTTGAGTGTGGCAATGGTGTGCTGAGTATGGTGCTCTCGGGCTGCCTGCTGCCAACGGCGTGCAGGAGGGCGTCATGGCTGTGGAGCACCTGGCGGACCACCCAGGTACACGGCTGTGGACGTCATGCTGTATGGTACTATACAGTGCCGGTGGTCTGCAAACTAGGTGCTCTGTTTGATAGCAACCTCCCTCCTTCCTGGTTCCCACACCTATCCGCCCTCCTTTTCGATTCCACTGTGCTTTCCCGCCCCTCCTTCCCCCACAACCGCCCACCTCCCACCTCTCCCCATCTCCCCTGCCCCTCTTCTCCCCTCTCCCCCACCCCCCCGCCAGTGTGCGCATCTGAGCTGCAACCATCACTGTGCCCGGGCTCCATCGTTGGCCCGCTGGTGGTGCTGGGCATGTGGCATGGCCGCACGCCTCTGCTCTCCGCCAAGCCCGCACTCCTGCACGCTGCCGCCTCACATGCTGCTGCTGCTGCTGCTGCTGCTGGTGTGGGCGACAAAGGCACCAGAGCGAAGCGGTTTCAGCAGGGCTCCTTCCACATGGTATGCTGACAATCCTGCCCCGTCTAACCCCCCTCACCCCCCTCACCCCCCTCACCCCCCCCACCCCCCCTTCCCCCCCTCCTCCTCTCCACCCTCTCCTTTTCTAAGCTCCCCCTCAACTCCCTCGCTTCTCCCCTGCACCCTCCATTCCGAGTGAACTGTGAAGATATCAAAGAGCACCCACAGCACCCACCCTTTCCGCCTCCGCTCCTTCCCATGCTCGCCCCTCCCACTGTCCGTGGTGTTGCACAGGCCTTTGTGACAGCAGCCAAGCCGGATGGGTCCTGCTCTGTGCAGCTAGCGGATGGCACCAGGGCCGTCACCCTGCCCTTCGCCCCTAGCCCTGCCCTCACTACCATGGTAACACAACCGCTGACAGTTCTTTCAATATTTCATGTAGTGGTTTTCTTGGAGTTTTCGTGTCTGGCAATGGTGGTGTGTGGTGGTGGGTGGCCTCGCGAGTGCTTCTCTCCTACCTACCACAGGTCCACAGTCGCAGAGGCCGGGCTGTTTGCCGGGCCATCCTCTCACCCCCCTTCGTTCCCTTCCCATCTTCCCCTCTTCGCAACCCACGTCTCGGTTGCACCTTCCCCGTCCCTTGTTTCGCCCTTTTCCTCTTGCCCCTCCGTTCCATCGCCTCCTCTTCCGTCCTCCCGCCCACCCACAGCTAACAGGCTCCCCTGCATCACCTGCTGCCTTCTTCTCTGTCGGCCAAACCGTCCGTGCCAAGATACTCAAGGTGCGATGAGCGTTGAGCATTAGTCAGGGTAGCACTCGTGAGAAACGCGTGCTGGTCATTTGTTTGGTCTGGTCGACAACAGCGTGCGCTGGTGAAGGCACGCACGCGATGTTTGTCTTTCCTTGTGCCTCCGTATTATTATTCCTCCCATTCGCCTCCCTTTCTCAACCCCTGCAGGCCTCTGATCCGCTGCAGGTGGCCGACTCTACACCCTCTGCTATGCTCTCTGCATCATGGTGACCCCATTCGTCACTTCCGTGTCCCTCTATTTCCGTCCCATCCAAACACCTGCAGGCGTCTGACCCGCTGCAGGTGACGCTAGACCCTCTCCTCTGCTCCTCCCACGACGGCTCCTTCCTGTCGTCGCTGCTGCAGCACGAGCACATGGTATCCCGGCAGGCTGCACCGGGCTCGGACGACCCGTGGATGAAGGCTGTGGTGCCTGGCATGGTAGTGGAAGGCACTGTGCTGGTGAAACAGGAGAGTGCCATGGGGGGAAGAAGGCATGCAGGGGACGTGTGGATGGTGGCTATTGTCAGTCCGGATGCACTGAAAGGGGTGAAAGCAACTGTCCCTGCTGACCTAGGTGAGAGCTGCTTTGCCCTCTGACCTAGATTTTGGTATGCATCTTTATGCTCGTATCCTCACTGTCCCTGTGTTGCCATTCCTCCTGCTTTCCTCAACTCCTCTGCTTCCCCAACTCCTCCGTTTCCTCAACTCCTCCGCTTCCGTTGCTTCCTTCCGTCGCCCTGTGTTGCAGCAACCAGGCTGCTAACCATAGGGGAGAGAATAGCAGCGCGAGTGGTGGATGTGGGGGAGGCAGCACGGACAGTGGTGCTGACCGTGGGTGATATCCCCGCTCCACAGTTTAGTCTGCACTCTGCTGATGGGTGCGGTGGGGGTGCGAAGAGTGGAAGTGACGGCAAAGGAAAGCGCACGGCAGAGAGTGCAGCAGTGTTACGGAAGGGGACGAGGCTGCTAGTGCGAGTGCAGCTCACCACGCCACACTATGCGGTGCGCCCCTCTCATTGACTCTTCACCTCCTCCCCCCCTTTCTGTTCTGGCCACAAGCCTATCATTTTCCAGTGACTAGGCTTGTGGCATGCGGGGGTGGAATAATTGCTCGCCTAGGGGTGTTGTTTGCATGCCTAGGGGGTTTGGTTTGGTTGCATGCTCAGGGCGGTTAGTTGCATTCAACGGGGTTGGTTGCAGTCCCTTTGCTCCAGTCCCTTTGCTCCAGTCCCTTTGCTGGCCAGCAACTGTGTGGCCAGCTGTGCGGCCCGCCAGTCCCTTTACTCCAGTGTACTCTTGGGCGTGGGTGCTCTTGAGCGTGGGTGCTCTTGAGCGTGGGTGCTCTTGCGCGTGGGTGCTCTTGAGGGTGGGTGCTCTTGGGCGTGGGTGCTCTTGGGCGTGGGTGCTCTTGAGCGTGGGTGCTCTTGCGCGTGGGTGCTCTTGAGCGTGGGTGCTCTTGAGGGTGGGTGCTCTTGAGCGTGGGTGCTCTGCTCTCGAGCGTGGGTGCTTTTGGGCGTGGGTGCTCTTTGGCGTGGGTGCTCTTGAGCGTGGGTGCTCATGAGCGTGGGTGGGTGCTCTTGGGCATGGGTGCTCTTGAGCGTGGGTGCTCTTGGGCGTGGGTGCTCTTGAGCTAGGTTGACAAAAACGCATTTGCAAGTTTGCGTTTTGAGTTTAAACGCAAACGTCTTAACGCAATACTCAAAAACGCATCAAAACGCTCGAACGCACCGCGGAATTTTACCGGGCTGACCGAAGCGAAAAACGCAAAAAAAAAACGCGCGATATCAGAAATCGAAATTGCATTTCGCCGCGCGTCGCGAATCGACAGCACATTTCGCGCGTTGCACATTCGCGAAAATTTTCACAGCGACACATAAACTTGTCAGTCTCTCCCTCCCTTTTCCCAACGTGTTTGAATTCCCAACCCATTCCCCCTTACTAGATCCACATCTATATGTAGAGGAGAACTTGGCTCACCTTCCATGCACAGCCACGATCTACTCCTACCCTTACGTTTTAACTTCCAGCAGCTAACCTATCCGATTTCCAGCCTCTAACATGGCGTCCTCCTAGTCGCCAGTACATGCTCCTCAATCGGATGAGGGCGAGGGTTCCACCGGTGTCACCACGTTCGTCGAACAGCCCGACCATGCGATATTCAAGCACTTTAGGACGGGTGTGGCAGCGGACGGTAAGCTGACAGAGTCGCGAAAGTGACACTACTGCCCCGCGACATTCGTTGGTGGCACGACGCGCGCCGCACAGCATTTGACGGAGTGGAACGGGATGAAGCATCGTGGCGTCCACCTCTGCCCCGCCGTTCCCAAGAAAGCTCGTGACGAGGTCAAGGCGCATCAGGAGCGAAACAATGAGTCGAGGGACTGCAGGCGTCGTGCAGAGTCCTTGGCGCTGCAAGCTGTCGGCGGCGACGGGATGAGCGGCCGCATGACCGATTTTTTCGGTGATGAGCCCACGTGCAATCGGAAAGCTGCAGATGAGGCGATATGCCTCATGTTCGCGGCTCTTCGTCTGCCAGAGCACATCGCGGACAACCCCATCTTCACCAACGCCATCTCCTGCATTGGTCGTGCAGGCGCTTCCTATGTTGCCCCCAAGCGGCGGTACATAGGAGGTGCGGGGCTGCAGACGTGCCGCACGCGTGTGGAGACAGCGCTTGGCCCCATCGCCGCCAGCTGGGAGAAGGATGGCGTAATCCTAGCCAGCGACATGATGACTGATGTGAACGGGAGGCCTCAGGCAAACATACTTCTCATCAACGACAGTGGGGCAGTGTTTGTGGAGCCGATCGATACGAACATGGAGTTCAAAACGGGCGGGTACATCGCGAGCATCCTCCGCCCGATCGTGCAGCGCCCGGGCCCGGAAAACATCGTTGCGTTCTACACCGACGGCGGCAGCAATTACGGCGCGGCGTGCAGGGAGTTGATGGCAGAATTTCCCCACATTGAGAAGGTCCCGTGCGCCACGCATGTTTTGGACCTCCTCATGGAGGACATTGGGAAGATGGCGTGGGCGCGGGCAGTGGTGGAGAAGGCGGATTACATCATCGCCTTCGTCCGCAAGCATCAGTTCACGCGGAACTTCATGCGCAATTGCAAGGTGGATGGGGGAAAGACGAAACAAGTTTTGCGGCCGGCCGGTACTCGCTTCGGGACCACCTACATAGCGGTGGGGCGCTTAACTGAGGTGCGGCGGGCCTTGACGCAACTCGTCCTGAGCAACGAGTGGAAGGATTTTGGTGCTGCAGGGGCGAGGAGGGCAGCGGCAGAGGTGTTTAGCACGGCGGTCATGGATGGTGAGTGGTGGAATGTGGCTGAAGCTTTCACCCACCTCATGCAGCTGCCATTTATGGTGATGCGGGCCACAGATTCGTCGGCGAAGGGAATGATGGGTAAGATTTACGACCTCATGTTGCAACTCACTGTGGACATGGCTGACATGCTCGACAAGCATGGGGAGGAGTTCCTGAACGAGGACGAGGCGGAAGAGATCCGGGGGTTGGTGAAGAAGAGGTGGGATCAAGACTTGGCTTGCCCCTTGCACGTGGTTGGCCGGATGCTCAGTCCGGCCAACCAAACAGAGGGAATCTTCCGCAAGGATAAGGAGTGCACCACTGTTTTGAAAAAGTTCCTCTCCACCCACTTCGACCGGCGCATGGTCACCCTCCCGAATGGGAGGACGGTGAAGGAATCAGTGGTGCTTCAGGACGGCCTCACCGACTTCTTCACCATGCGCGGCAGCTTTGGCATTGCCGAGGCAATCGCTGACCGTGAGTTGGTGAAGGCGGGAGAGATGGACATGGTGCGGTGGTGGACTTGGCATGGCACAAACCATCCCGCCCTCACCGCCCTCGCTTGCCGTGTCCTCACACAGGCCTTCTCTGCAGCCGCATGCGAGCGCAATTGGGCGGTGTGGGACTCAGTCCACACCGCCAAGCGCAACCGCTTGGGGTCGGAGAAGTGCCGGGATTTGGTGTACATGGCCCACAACTGGCATGTGGTCCACAACTGGTACAAGAAGGAGGAGGGGCTTGGGGTTGTTGCTGGGAACATCCCCGAGCCCCCCATGCCGGAGGGATACAATGTGCTCGAGGAGGAGGCGGAGGAGGGGGAAGATGATGTGCTTGAGGATGAGTATGAGTAGGATAGATGTACAAGGATCGGATGGAGGAGGCATAGATGATGGAGAGAAGATAGGTAGTCAGGAGATGTGGCGCCGGAGGAAGGGGAAGATAATGTGATGGAGGATGAGAATGAGTAGGGGAGATGTAGAAGGTCGGATGGAAGAGGCATAGATGATGGAGAGGAGATAGGTAGTCGAGAGATGTGGCTGTGAATGTGTGTCCTTAGCGTGATGTTAATGTGAAAAGAAAATTTCTGCTGTCCCCTCCTCACCCCTCTCCTCCCCCTCCCCCCCACCCCCCCTATATCCCCTGCCCGGGCAAAAATTTCCGCCTGCCCGGGCAGGCGTTTTCAAAGCGCATTTGAAGCCTGAAATCCTACGTTTTGCTTCCTGAACGCAAGCGTTCCAAACGAAACGCAAAAACGCGGAAACGCGTTTATGCCAACATAGCTCTTGAGCGTGGGTGCTCTTGCGCGTGGGTGCTCTTGAGCATGGGTGCTCTCGAGCGTGGGTGCTTTTGGGCGTGGGTGCTCTTGGGCGTGGGTGCTCTTGGACGTGGGAACTCTTGAACGTGGGTGCTCTTGGGCGTGGGTGCTCTTGAGCGTGGGTGCTCTTGAGCGTGGGTGCTCTTGGGCGTGGGTGCTCTTGCGCGTGGGTGCTCTTGGGCGTGGGTGCTCTTGAGCGTGGGTGCTCTCGCGCGTGGGTGCTCTTGCGCGTGGGTGCTCTTGAGCGTGGGTGCTCTTGCACGTGGGTGCTCTTTCGCGTGGGTGCTCTTGCGCGTGGGTGCTCTTTCGCGTGGGTGCTCTTGCGCGTGGTTGCTCTTGAGCGTGGGTCCTCTTGCGAGTGGGTGCTCTTGCGCGTGGGTGCTCTTGCGAGTGGGTGCTCTTGGGCGTGGGTGCTCTTGGGCGTGGGTTCTCTTGAGCGTGGCTGCTCTTTCGCGTGGGTGCTCTTGCACGTGGGTGCTCTTGCGCGCGGGTGCTCTTGCGTATGGGTGCTGCTCTTGATAACTCTTGAGCATGGGTTCTCCCTTTGGTCATGGAAAGCTTGGTTGGAAGGCGGATTTCTTCTCTTGTCCTGCCCTCTCATTAATTCCTCTCTCTGGTGCTCAACCTTCCCTTCTTGTGCCCTGAATCTGTTGCCTCTCACCCCATCGTCTCTCACAGGTCGTCTCACTGCCTGCCTCCTTCACCCTACCGACAACCACGGGCCAATCGCAAGCAGCCACGTCAGCACCGCTGCTGGCCACGCTGGCAGGGGGGGACTTCAACCTACCTCACGTGGACGTCCCTCGGGTGTACCGGCCCGGGCAGACGTACGTAGTTCGCCCACGCCACCTCACATGCTTTTATATTGCTGCGGTGGCGCATTAAAACTGGACTGGGTCATTCCATTGCACGTTTGTATGGATGGATGTGCGATGGATGTGTGCCATGTGTATGTACCAGCATGGATGGATGCTCTGCCTGGCCCCGTTGCGCATTTGTCCGCACGTCTCCGTTCAGGCTCCTTCGCTCTCTCTTCTCCTCTCCTCTCCTCTCCTCTCCTCTCCTCTCCTCTCCTCTCCTCGGCTTTCTCTCGCTCCTCCTTGTGCTTCTCACGTCCCTCCTTTCCAGTGTGGCAGCAGCGGTTGTCGCCCTCCCCACGGCGCAGACAGGTGGCAGAATCGTACTGGCTCGTGACGAGCTTGTATCGTTCAGCTCTCCTTCTGCCACTCCCGCCGCTGCTGCTGCGACAAACACTGAAGCTGCTCCTGCTCCTGCTGCTACTGGTAGTGCTGCCGACACCCAAACTCCTGCAGCCACTCCTCCCTCTGCTGCTGCTGCTGCTGCCACGCCTGCCGGGGCTGCGTCTGCTCCCTGGCATCGGCGGTTCTCCCAGCTAAACCTTCTGGTGGGGGCAGAGGTGGAGGGGCAGGTTCAGGCTGTGTTCCCCTCTGCAGCGCTGGCTCTCGTGTCGCTTGGGGGCTGGGTCTCTGCCATTCTGCGTACTTCCCAGGTGCGTTGTGGGCGTTCCCTGCCTGTGCTTGCTCTAGCGTCTCTTCCACCCTCTGGCTGTTCTATGGGTTTGCGCGATCTCTGGCTCTTGCATCTTCTTATCTCTTTTCTTCCTTTCACTGCCTCCTCTCCCCTTCCACGACCGCCTTAGTCTTGTTACCTGCCCCCCATTCCCCTCCCCCCTCCCCCCCAGTTCCCCTCTCCCCTGCATTCTGGAGACGCAATTAAAGCCCGAGTGGAAAGAGTGCTGCTGGGTGCTGCAGCCGCCACAGCCATCCACGGGAAGGCGCAGGGGCAGAAGCAGGGGAAGGAGGAGAAGCTAGGCCAGGAGGAGCAGCGAGTAGTGGACGAGAGTGGTATGTGCGTGCTGCTCAAGGGGGCAGTGCTGGTGGATGGAGGTGGGGAGAAACGCGGGGAGGAAGGGCAGGGGAAGAAGGGCCAGAAGGGCAAGGGTCTCGCGAAGGGGGAAGGAAAGGAGGTGAAGAGAGGGGGGTTGGAGGGGAAAGGAGTGGGAAGGGTGGGGGTGGGGGAAGTGATTGTTGTGCTGTCTGATGACGAGGAGCAGGAGGAGGAGGATATTCGGGAAGAGGATGAAGAGGGGGAGGAGGAGACTGGGGATGAGGAGGAGGAGGATGAGGAGAAGGAGTACGAGGAGGAGGACGAGGAGGAGGAGGAAGAAGAGGAGATGGAGGTGGATGAGGAGGAGGAGGATGATAGTGATGAAGGAAAGGAGGGTGAGGAGGGTGATGAAGAGGAAGGGGAAGAGGAGGAGGAGGTTGCACCTCTGCCTGTTGCGATCAATGGCTCCCGTCTGGCGGGGGCAAGGCGGTTACCAGCAGAGGAATCAGACGAGGAGGAGAGAGTGGAGGAGGAGAGCGAGGAGGTGAAGAAGCAGAGGAAGAAGAGGGCGAAGAAGAGAGAGAAGGAGGCCAGGCAAGCGCTGCTGTTTCCATATCCTATGTCCCGTTGGTCCATGCACCAGTGGCTCATGCACCGTGTATCGTATCCCATTGTGCCCCACTTAGCTCATCCGAATTCTTGAAACGACTCCCCTCCTTCCCCCCCCTCCCCTCCCTCCGATAGTGAACGGGCCATCCAGGAGGCAGAGCAGCTGCTGATGAGCGGCCAGCAGGCGCCAGAGACAGAAGAGGGACACACTTTGAATGCGGATTGTAGTTGACATTTCCCTCCCTAACCCCTCCTTCGTCCCTCTCCCCCACGGCAGGGAGCGGGCGATCCAGGAGGCGGAGCAGCAGCGGGTGAGGGGACAGCAGGCACCGGAGACAGAAGCAGGAGCAGCGGGATACACTTTGAATGCAGCATAGAAGTGACTTCCCCTTCCCTTAACCCCCTCCCCCACCCCCCCACCCCCCCACTCTTCACGCACGGCAGGGAGCGGGCGATCCAGGAGGCGGAGCAGCGGCGGGTGCGGGGGCAGCAGGCACCGGAGACAGAGGCGGAGTTTGAGCAGCTGCTGCTGGCGTCGCCCAACAGCTCGTTCCTGTGGATCAAGTTCATGGCGTTCCTGCTCTCGCTCTCCGAGATTGACAAAGCCCGGGCCGTGGCCGAGAGGTGAGGGGGGATGGGGGGAAGGGTGTTGTGCGGTGGGATGCGGTTGGGAGAGATTTGGACAGCTCGTTCCTGTGGATCAAGTTCATGGCGTTCCTGCTCTCGCTCTCGGAAATGGACAAGGCCAGGGCCGTGGCCGAGAGGTGAGGAGTGCGTTGAGTACCTGTGTGGTGCGGTGGAATGCAGTCGGGAGGAATTGAAACGGTTTGTTGTCTCGGGATCAAATTCTTGGCGTTCCTGCTCTCGCTCTCGGAGGTGAGAAGGTGCACTGAATGCCTGTGTGGTGCGGCGCGATACGGTTGGTAGGAGTTTGAATAGTTCGGTTTCTGTGGATCAAGTTCATGGCATCAAGACTCTCAAGCCGCTTCGTGCACGCGTGTGCCCAACGAGAAGAATAAGAACCGTGAGCCAGCTACCGGGAGGAGGGCGAGAAGCTCAACATCTGGGTGGCACAACTCCCTACATCCAACCCAACCCCCTCTCCCTCCTCTGTTCTCCCCTGTATGTGCAACCAGAGCGCTGAAGAGCATCAGCTACCGGGAGGAGGGCGAGAAGCTCAACATCTGGGTGGCGTACCTCAACCTCGAGAACATGCACGGCAACCCCCCCAAGGTGCGCCTCAATTGAGCCTAGTTCTGAACCGCCTCCTATATAGACGTCTCAATACAACCCGTGTGAGGTGCGTCCTTAGCTCAATCTCAATCCCAGTCCCCCTATCCCTTCTTCCTTATCCCTCTCCCTTCACTGTGCACGCGTGCTCCCACAGGAGGCCGTGCGTGCTGATGCTGTACCAGCGCGCGCTGGCGTACACGGACCCGAAGAAGCTCTTACCATGCTAATACTGCCCTTCCCTCCCAATCCCCCCTTTTCATTCCCCCTTCCCCCGATCCCCCTCCCCCCTTCGGCGCACATTCCCACACGTTCCAACGCACCCCCTCAATCGTTGCTGGCGCTGCTCCAACACGCGCTGGCGTACACAGACCCGAAGAAGCTTATAATCACCTTTTGCCCCACCGCTTCCCTAACCTCCCTCTCCCTTCCCATCACTCACTCACTCACACTCTCACAGGAGGCGGTGCTGACGCTGTTCCAGCGCGCGCTGGCTTACACGGACCCGAAGAAGCTGCACATAGCGCTGCTGGGCGTGTTTGAGCGCAGCCAGCAGCACGACATGGCCGACACGCTGTTGCACTCCATGGCCAAGAAGTTCAGCACGTCCGCCAAGGTGAGCGCGCTGAGTCTCACTCACGTTGTCTAGTGGTGAGAGGCACCAACACTGCACACTCCACTGCACTCCATGGCCAAGAAGTTCAGCACGTCCGCCAAGGTGAGTCCTCAGAGCTTCATTCATACTAGCTTTGTGGCACAGCAGTACTATCTTCCCCTAGATCGATCTACTCTTAGATATGGCGCCTCTATAGTTCAGTGTCGCTGTTTGGTGCGCGGTACCGCTTGCTCCCTCCCTCCCTAATCCAGGTGCCTTCTGGTCTGGGGCACCAGAAAACGCTCTCTGAAAATACCAACGCCCTTTCATCGGCTGCTCCCCTCTCTCGTTCAGCGCCCTCACATAGTCCCTGCCTACTCGCATGCACGTTCATCTGAGCCTTTCCTTAAAGTGCTTTCCCTCCCCCCCCCCCCGTCCCTGGTGGTGCGTTTGCAGGTGTGGCTGCGGTACATTCAGAACCAGCTCAGCCGCGGTCTGGAGGAAGGTGCGAGGAAGATGATGGAGCGAGCGCTCACTGTGCTGCCGCAGAGAAAACACATTAAGGTGGGGGCACGAGGGGGGTGGGGGGCATGGGGGGTGCTGGGGAAGCTGGGGGGGAATGGGGGGGGATGAAGGGGAGATGGGGAGGGGATGGGGGGATGGGGGGGGATGGGGGGGGGATGGGGGGGGGATGGGGGGGATGGGGGAGGCATGGGGAGCAGGGGGGGGACGGGGGACGAAGGTGGGATCGGGAGCACGAAGTCGAGGGGTTGCTTTCGGCTTGGAACAGGGGGATTTCAAAAGAGGAACATGGGCTTTTCCATGCTTCCCGCTCACCTCCTCTCCCTCCCCCACCGTCCCTCTCCCTACCCTACCCCACCTCCCACACTATCTCCCCACCATTCCGCCTGCCTCTCTCCCTCTGCGGCTGCCCCCTTTATCTCCTGTTGTCGTGCTATAAAGTGATCTCCCAGGCAGCGCTGATAAATACGGCGTGAGATCGCAGCAGCGACGAAAATCGATTTTCGAGGGCATCCCTGTTTTGAGGCGCCTCGAACGAACCTAGTTTGCGTGTCTGTTCTGTCCCCCCGCCTCTGTCCTGCAACCTGTGATCGTACCATCAGGTGATATCCCAGGCAGCACTAATGGAGTACCGCATGGGGTCGCAGGAGCGCGGCAGGACGCTCTTTGAGAGCATTCTGCGCAACTTCCCCAAGCGCACGGACCTCTGGATCACATACATCGACCAGGCAAGGGCCTCTCCTCTCCTCATGCCTGTAACCCATCACCCCATCCCGCCTGTTGCTGTGTTTTTCCGTCCCTTGCACTGTCCCTCCCTCGCCATCATCCCCTGTCCTGTTGCCTCCCCCTACATCATCTGACCTTACTATCTCCATCGTCTTACCTTTATCTGGTTATTCGCAGGAGGTGCGGGTGGGCGACATGGCAGCAGTGCGGCGGCTGTTTGAGCGGGTCGTGTCTCTGGACCTCCCTCCCAAGAAGATGAAGGTGCGTTGCATTGCGTTGTGCTGCCTACCCTACCCGTCTGCCCTTGCCAACCGTGCTTCCTTGGGTCAGATTATCTTCTTAGCTCAATGTTTATCTCTCTGTGGTTTCTCGTTCAGTGCACGTTGTTAGGAGTTCCTGGGGTAGCAACTGCGTTTTCAGCCACCACCATTGCCACCACCATTGCCATTGCCATTGTCATTGCCATCACTCTCATCTCACCTCCCCCCCTCCTCCCCCTCTCCTCTCTCTTCTCCTCCCTCCCCTTCCTCTTCCTCTCCTCTTCCTCTCCCTTCCCCCCCTCTCTTTCCCCCCCCTATGCAGTCTCGTCTGAAGAAGTACCTGCTCTCTGAGACGGCGCACGTCAAGCAGGTGCAGGTGGCGCATGTCCAAGTGTATTTAGAAAATGCACCTCGTCTTTCCTTGTCTCTCCCCCTCTCTCTCTCTTCTGCAGTCGCTCCTGAAGAAGTACCTGGACTTCGAGACGGCGCACGGCACGCAGGAGCAGGTGGCGCATGTGAAGGCGCGTGCAGTGGAGTATGTGCAGCGCAGGATGGGGGCAGGGGGCAATGCTTGAGGGGGGGAGGGGAGGGGAGGGGAGGGGGGGAGAGTGGTGGTGTATCAAGAGCAGAATGGGTGGTTAGAGGGGTGGCGATGCAGCTTGAACCAAATCAAGGCTGGTTAGTTGCACATGTTCAATAACAAGTGTTCAATGTTAGTCGTGCTTGGATGCCCTCTGATGTTTGATTCCACTGAGCTAATTAAGGGATGGTACTAAGGTACATTGATGAAGTTTGTAGACGTTGCTTTTTAAACTTCTGCAGATATTTGAGTTTAAGGACTTCAACCATAACAAAGCAGAGTTTCTGCAGACAATAACAGCACACCCTCACCCTTATACCGCAGCAGCCATGCCAATCACCCAAGCCTAAGCACGTTCATAAGTCGGATTTGTTGCGCGCGTGGTAAGGCTAGCCGCGCTGGAGACGCAGCTACGCGACAGGGGGTGCATTCGATCCGATTCGAACAGCTTGTAGCCTAGATCTCCAAGTCCTCGTTATTAGCCGACTCTTGCGGCCGTATTCAGATCCGCCTGCCGAGTCGACGCACCTACGCAACGCGAGAGCGAAGGCGGAGAGACGGGATTCGCTGTCCGTAGCCGGCTAACGACCGCTCTGGAGGCCCCTGGCCGGCTGCAGAAGAGAACTAGCAGGACTGGAGTTACGGCGACTGATACGCAGCGACAGCGGCAGCGGCAGCAACAGCGGCAGCGGCAGCGGCAGTAGGACTATCCGCGCTGACCAATCTAAGTACTATCTGAAAGTATCCCGTAGCGTCGTCAGCTTGACGGCTGCAGCGGCGCAAACTCCGGGCGTGACGTGAAAGGGCAGCTCGCAGGAGATGGCAGGGAGTGGCGCAAACGCTGAGACCGGGGGAGTGCTGGGATGCGCGCGGGGGGTTTGCGGAGACGCCGCGCAGGCGGAAGTGGAGGCGGGGGAAGGAATCCCTGCAGGCGGCGGAGCGGGCGGGGGAACGGGGGGGGAGAGATTAGTGGGTTTTGGGGGAGCTAATGAAAGGGGAGGCGGGGGAGGAGGGGGGGAGGAGGCGGGGGATCGGAAGGCGGCGCGCGGGAGAGAGAGGAGAGGCGAGAGGCGACTGGTACGGGTGCGGAAGAGAGGGGGGAGAGGGGGAGCGCTCTTAGGGGGGAGAGGGAGGAGCGCTCTGGGGAGGGGGCGGAAGAACTTGGGGGAGACGGGGGAAGAGCTAATGGGGGAGATTTAGAGGAAGGGGAAAGCAAGGGGCAAGAGGAGGACAGAGCGCAGGCAGGCGCGGCACAAGGGGCGGATCAAGAGAGGCCGCATCAAGAGGACCGTTCCTCTCTGAGACAGGGGGACGGGTTAGAAGAAAGCGGAAGGGGGGGAGGGGGAGGAGAAGGCGGAAAGGGGGGAGGAGAAGGCGGAAGGGGGGGAGGAGAAAGCGGAAGGGGGGAAGAAGAAGGCGGGGAGGGAGGAGGCGAGGGAGGAGGCGAGGGAGGGGGCGAGGGAGGGGGCGAGGGAGGAGGCGAGGGAGGGGGCGAGGGAGGAGGCGAGGGAGTGTCGGAGCGCATGGCGAGCCACGTGGAGGAGCTGATGGCGCGCGAGAGGGTGAGGATGGTGGCGCTGCTGAGGGCGTTCCTGCAGGCTAGACACATCAAGACGGACAGCGTGCCGTGCCTCGTGGACGAGGTGAGGAGAGCGGGGGTTTGGGATGCGATGGGATGGGATGGGATGGGATGGGAAGGGATGGGATGGGATGCGATGAGGGGATGGAGAGTGCTAAACCCTAAACCCTGTCTAAACCCCAAACCCTAAACCCGAAACCCTAAACCCCTGAGTGGACCACTGGTCCACTGGTCCAAAAGTCCACTGATCCACTGTCTGGTCCATTGGTCCACTGGTCCACTGGTCCACTTCCCTTTTGGCTTGACATGCCGCAGGGCCTGTACCTGGGGTCCATACCATAGGCGCAGCGCACATCAGTGACCTGCTGAATCGCAACAACCGCAGTGTTCCTCTCATCTCCCACCAGCTAATAAGACCTCCCTGTGCTTCCTTCTTCCCTGTGCTTCCCTTTTCCCTGTGCTTCCCTTTTCCCTGGGCGTGTGCATCAGGGCCTGTATCTGGGGTCCATAGGCGCGGCGCACAACAGGGACCTGCTGAAGCGCAGCAACGTGACGCACGTGCTCACAGTCGCCAACTCCATCCTGCCGGCGCACCCCCGTGACTTCCACTACACGCTAGTCAACGGTGAGAACTCTACTTCCGAGGCACATTTTGAGCGGACTCAAATTACACCGGCACATTTTGAGCGGTCTCAAAATACACCGGCACTGGTGAGCGGACTCAAAATATACTTCGACTTCCACCGCACGCTAGTCAGCGGTGAGAACTCAGCTTCTGAGGCGCCTCAATATGTCAACACCCAGCGCACCCCCATGAGGCGCTATACTTCTCCATGCTGCCATCGCATTGCCATGACTTCCACTACACGTTAGTCAACATTGAGAA